GGGTGGGGGCCAGAGGCAGGCTGGTCTTTGTGAATTTGAAGCCAGCTTGATCTCTATAGTGAGTTCCAGGCCACTCTAGGCTATGTAGTGAGACCCTGTCTCAAAAAGCAACAAAACAAATCTTTTTAAAATATTTTAACTTAAATATACATATGTGTACTGAAACCCTTAGAAGACCACTTTTCCAAATTCACTCAGTTCACTTACATGTCCTTCCCCTTCTCTTCTTGAATGTATGACTTCATATTTATGTATGGAGCAGGAAGCATAGAAAAATACAGCCTGCTGAGTCAGTTTAAAGTTGTTCCCATGTGAATGTGTTTAGGGCTGACTGCTTGGGGTTGAATAACCTATCAGGAAGCTCACTCCCAGAGAGACTGAATCTCTCAATCACCATTAATGTCCTGTAGCTCTTTGTTTATGGCCAGGGCCTTGTGAGATTCCCCCATACACACTGGCATGTCAAAAGGTGTTGTCATTGTGCAGCTCTTGTTTAGGTGACTATATTTTTGAGATGTCCTGGGCACAGCTTCCCTGTCATATATAGAAGACACAATCTCAGAGCAGACATCCTGGTCTTCTGGCTTTTACAGTTTTTCCGCCCACTCCTCTGTAATGTTCTTTGAGCCTCAAGCATCAGGGTTGCTTTGTAGATGTATCTGCTGGGCTTGCCTTTGGCCAGTTGTGGACTTCTGTGATAATCTTCATTGGCTGCAGGAGGAAACTTCCTTGATGAGGACTGAGAGCTGCCCTTATCCTTGGGTGAAAGGATAAATAGAATGCATTTCATTTTTGCTTTGTTTGTTTGTTTGTTTTCAGACAGGGTTTCTCTGTGTAGCCTTGGCTGTCCTGTCATCCTGTAGACCAGGCTGGCCTCGAACTCACAGAGATCTAGCTGCCTCTGTCTCCCGAGTGTTGGGATTAAAGGTGTGGACCACCACCGCCTGGCTCATTTCTGCTTCTTAAACCAGGCCTTGTACAAAGTGTTTTTTGAGTTTTCATAGTCAACAAGGGCTCTGGTTCATCTGGATAAGAGATCCTGTGTCCTCTGTGTTAAGCATGTAGGACTGTATGAACTCTGAGTTTTTAACTTTCATCTGATGAGACTCTGCCACCTGCTCCTCTAACTTTTTCTGATAGCTGTGCTCCCCCTCCATGGTTACTTTCCCTGTGTGTTCCTCTAAAGTCATCCATTCAAGTAGGCTGCAGTGACGGTATGGTCATCTGTAACACTTTGGTGAAATCAAGTCCTTCTGTCCTCCTCAGCTCAGGAATCCTTGATCCCATTGTAGCAGATAAGGAAGTAGTTTTCTCCATCAAAGAAACCACCACCTCCCTCACTCCAGATGGAGGACTTCATCAGCTCTCTGCACCATACTTTTTAAAAAGCTGCTAAGCATCTTTGAGGTTTTCCCATCTACTGCTTAGCTTCTGCTCACACCCCAGAAGACCACAAAAGTCACAGTTTAACTGAGAACAGGGTGAGAAGAAAGTCACTGACGAAAGACTTCATGGGAGCACACAGTCTTCTAAAAGACTGTGAGATCTGAAGCCTCTGGTGCTTGCTTCATCTTGGCAAATTCTCTCTTGGTGGTAGAGCCTGCTCCTTCTCCCATTTGCATCTTCTCTTGAGAGTCATCAAAGTCTCACTCTGTAGGAGCAAGAGGGATAATAAGCTCTGGATACCCCATTGTTTCAGTTAGCAGCATAAGGTACAGCCACACAACATCTTAATGGTGCTCTGTGACAGAAAACTCTTGAGACATGGGCTGTGTGGCTTTGGTGTGTGCTGTAAATTTGACCTTTTCTCTCTCACTGCGCATACCAGTTATGTTCATCTGAAGTAAAGGATTGCATTCAGGTCTACAGACAGCAATCTTAGCCTTGCTCTATACTATGCAGACACCACCACTACAGGGACATGGGGTCAGGATTCTCTTCCTGTAAGCCAGCCAGAAAACCTACCTGCCTTCCTTTCTTCCCTCTCACCTTCTTTCCTTCCTTCCTTTTTTGAGATGGAGTGTTTGAGGCCAGACTGGCCTCAAGTGGAATCCTCCTGCCTCAGCCTGGTGAGCACAGAATTACAGGTGTGCACTATCACTCCTAGAAGAATTTGGCCTTAAAAACAGCTAATCATCTCCTTACAGTAGTGCACCTTCCCACCAGTTTGGAAGATACCACATTGTTTAGTAAAGAAAACTGCTTGGTTTAGAGTAAGATAATAGAAACGAACTGAAAACATAAGCTGTAATCACTTCTAAAACAACTCACTTCTCCTAGTGTGGGAAATAGCCCCGTGGCACACACATAAGCTTTCTGCCTGCTTCCTAGTCCTAGGAGTCAATGCGACAGAATGCTGTGATGATCTGAATTCATATACCACTGATTCCTTTTCTCTTCGGCAACCTGCAGGGCTCAGTATTACTACAGCTGCGGCAGAGAGTCTATGATTTGGGAGATCCCTCCTCCTGCGCTGATTTCCCAGCCTTCTAAAAGGATCCAGAAGCTCGCAAAACCCAACAAATACAAAACACAGTTTCTGCTAGATAGGTAGAGTATCTCAAATTCCCCAGAAACCCTGATCTAGCTTGCTTATGTGTCACAACTTTGTATAGCTCCAGCTTTGGTCTGAGTGAAAAGGCCGTTTATGTCCAAACGCCTTGGATAAAACTGTTGGATTATCTGCAGCAGGTGAGGGGGGTCAGAGGGTCGTCATCAACTATTACATTTGCCTGGGGCTGCTTGGACAGAAATTCACAGAAAAACTTCCTCACTATCACACAGTAAAAGGAATCTCTCAGCCTGGTATGATGGCTCCTGCTTGTGATCTACAGCACCCAGAAAAACCCACTACAAAATGTAAATCTACTAAGCACTCTCTTCTACAAATATCCATATTCAGGTATCCATGTATCCACACCAGAACACTAGCAAATCAAATCCAGACATACATGCAACAGTTCACATCCTTGTTAAAAACCAACTGACCACAAGTGCAAACTTTTATTTCTGGATTGCCAGTCCCACTCCATGTCCTAATGTTTGTCTTTATGCAATAATACACAATCATGATATCACAGCTTTTTAGTAGACTTTGAAATCATAAACTACCTTTGAACTTTGTTCTTCATATTCATGATCATTTTAGATTATCCCGGGTCCTTTGTATAACCATATCAGTTTTGTTTTTTGGGTTGATGAAAATACTCACAAATAAGTGCTGATGGTTGAAAACTGTGAATATTCTAGAAACCACTTGGTTGTAGACTTTGAAAGGGTAAGTTTTATGTATGTTAATTGTATCTTAATAGTAATAACAAAACCTAGAGCTCTCTACCCTTAGAAAGTCTCACATATTTGAGAAAACCTTTTTCCACGCTATTTGTGGATTTGTTGAGTGACTGGTAGATTTTTGATCAGAGAAAGAATGACCTGGTATGCATGAAGTACTTGGCATAACTGGCCAAGTGACTGAGAGTTAACACAAGGATTACTCTACCTGTACTACAAAAGAGAATGGCCCACAGGTAGTCCTCGGTGATGACTGAGGGAACTAATTATTCAGGAAATAATATGAGGTTTCCGTAGGAAGTGAGGTATTTTTCAGACTGTAGGCCAGAAGGTCAGAACCCATCCAAAATGGAATATATAATTCTAGGGTTTTTTTTCTAATTAAATCAAACTTTTAAAAAATTAGATCAGACTGTATGACGTAGAAGCAGTCTCTTGAGAATTTTGTTTCGTGTATACAAACATATTTACATACACAGTGACACATAAAGTGTATCTTCTACTGTGGTTTAATGAGAAACAGCAATTTGTCAAAAGAACTCGGGTGCGTGGGAGAAAAGTTGTTCCTGCTTTCGGGGCGTGTACATAGCTGCAGTTGGTTTTAGCCATGAACTGTTTGTTCTTCCATCTGAAGTCGTATTTTATTTCCGTTTGCATATCGCCCCCGCAGGGATAACTTAGAGCCAGAGACTTTACATTTCTCCGGACCTTCTCCCCGGATTCTGCAGCTCTCCGTAGCCAAAGGCACAGATCCCAACTATGTTCCCCCTAAAAGCGTAAGTGGCGCCTGCCTGTGTCATGCAACACTCTCTGCCAGTTACTTCCTGTGTGGCGAAGTACATGGGGAGAAGCGGTTTGAGGGAGAAGGGTTGGCTTGGGCTCACAGTTTGAAGCATACAGTACGTCACAGAAGGAGGGGGAAGGCACGGCAACTGGTGACTCCACAGTGGCAGCAGTAGGTTGGTGGGACTCCAAACTGAAAGCAGACAGGAAGTATAGCCAGGCTACACTTGAAAGTCTAGTGACCCACTTCCTCCAACGAGGTGCCTCTTCCCAAGGGTTATTCAATCCTCTAAAATAGCAATGCCCATTGGATGGAGACCAAGTGTTCACACATACAACACTAAGGGAGACATTTCACTTTCAAATCACAACTCTTCTCTTTTTCTTTGTGGGTTTCCCCTCTTAGAAAATCAGTTTTGCCTGAGCTGTCAGGAATAGATCATAGAAGTAGAACCACGTGTGATATAAACAAGGGATTTATTGCATACGTTAGCCCTTGAATAATTTCGGGGACCAGATGAGATCTATGGCAGGCTGGTAGACAGTGGAGAGGTCATAGGGATGAGTGGGAAGTTACTCAGAAGGTATCCCGGGTGTGGGGTCTAGGAAGGGTTGGTAAGGAAAGTAGTATTTAAGAGTTTAGAGCACTCCACTTTATTGGAAATTCAGGGTTTAGGATCCCCCTGTTTTTTGGAATCTGCCCATATGTCACCATTCCAATTCTCAATGTTTCCAGCCATTGTCCATTAATTGGGCAAATTTGAAAATTCAGATTTTATTGTAACCCACCAATCCGCAGAATTAGATTGTAGTTTTCAGACTCTCCAGCCCTGTGACAATAGAAGATAAAGGTTTCCCTTGATTGGAAGTCATTTCTGATCCTTTATCTGGATTCTAAGAGGGAAATGTTTCTGGAAATGTTTTTATAATTCATGCTCCATTTAACAACCCGAGAAGATTATTTTATTTTTTTCAAACAAGCCCTCCAGCATCCTTACCAGCATTGTTCCTCTTTATTCCATTGACATGTTCTTGGCGTCAACTGTTGTTTATAGCAAAGCCCTTCAAACAATTTTAAACTATATTTATGTTAATTCTATTTGATTTATTTGTAAGTGATTTTGTCATCTACACTGAAATATTAGATTACTGTCTTAAAATTTAATATATTAAACTTACAAATAAGGCACAAATGCCTTTCAAATTTTTTTATTTATTTTATGTGCATGGGTGTTTTGCCTGCATGTAAGTCTGTCTCCCACTTTCATGCCTGCTGCATAGGGAAGAGGCTGTCAGCTCCCCTGGGCCTGGAGTTACAGGCCACCCTATGGGTGCCAGAAATTGAACCCAGGTCCTGAGCTATCTCTCCAGATTCAAATGAAAAAATTTTTATAAATGTTCTAAGAATAAACACAAAATTTTATTTACTGTCACAATTCTAAATCAGTTCCTTATTTAGTTATACATGGAATAGAGCAAATTCTCTTAAATGCACTTAAGTATGCATATAATTTTTATATCAATAGTCTAAAACTTACTACAAATTATGAAATTATCATTTTATTCCTTCTGCATGTGCTGTGTGCATATATGTGTAGTGCTCTCAGACTAACTTCTGAGAGAAAACTATAGATATATTCCCCTACAAATTCCTTCTTGTTAATTCCCAAGGGGATCACTTTTTTTTTAAGTAAACCACAAAAATATTGTTATCAAAATCAGAAAATGTAAGACTAATACAGTAGTACTTTATCTGCCCTATGGTCCATGTTCAAATTACATTGTTGTTGCATGTATGCTCTACACAAATGATTAATCTGCGTGATTAGTTAATGGTTAATTCTATTATCAATTCCTTACAGTTAACTATAAATATACCTCAAGTTTAACAGTAACTCTTGCCCGAAAAGGAAGCCAAGGTCCTCTGTTGGGTACCTGACATCATTTTTGGATTGATGAACTAGAAGAAGCCTTTAACTGGCTGTCATTCTGAGTCCCTTTTTACAGGAACTTTGTCACAGTCTACAAAACTGAAAAATGTTTGATCTCACGACTCACCTAGCACCTACCCACCGTTCTCTGTCCACTCAGCTACATTCATGACTTCTACCCAGATGAACCAACCCATAGATAAACCAACCGACTTGGGTTCAAACACTTGTTGGCTTTTAAGAGACTGAGTGTTATGCACATGAGTTCTGCAGATCTCACACAGCATTGTCCCACTTGCTGTCCTGATTTAAAGGTTTTATTTCTTCTTACTCACATGCCTCTCTGTGGTTATTATAAGAGAATAAAAATTCTGAAAGTAACTAAATGGTGGTGACGCACGCCTTTAATTCCAGCACTCAGGAGGCAGAGGCAGGTGGGTCTCTGTGAGTTTGAGGCCAACCTGTTCTACATAGTGAGTTTAGTTCCCAGCTTGTAAGATATCCTATATTTTCTTCTAGAAGTTTTCTAATTCTTGCACTTGTAATAGATAACTAAATAACTAAATGTGTATGATCTAATTTGAAGTAGATTTTTTGGGGGGCATGTGTTAGGTAGAGATGGAGGTTTCTCTTAGTTCCATACAGATATTCATATAATTTGATTATTCCTTTTCTCTGTTCAGTTATCTTGGGTCTGTTTATGGACTCTGGAATCTGTTATGACTACTTACTTGTCTATTTTTACATAGGTACTATACTGTCTAGATTATTATGGTTTTACAATAAATATTTATTCTAAACTGAAATGAGATCATGTAAGACCTCTAGTTTTGTCCACATTTTCACTTTGGATTTGGCTGTGGTAGCCTTCTGCATTTCCACACAGCTCAGACTCCATTGTATTTTGTTGTGTTGTTTTATAGAATTGACTGATTGTTTTATTCCCTTTTTGATTGAAAGGCTTAATTAAAGACAGTGGTTAGCATATTCCTTCACTTCACCTAGAGCCCTGTAGCAGACAACGCGTTATTCATAAAAGTTCTTTGAACCCTTAATTAGTTCTTTATGGTGTTGAGACATGCACCATCCTCAGTTTGAATCCCAGCTTTGCCATTTCCTGGTTATATAAACTTGCACCATTGAACCTCCAGTGCCTCAGTGCTTCTATCAGTGAAATAGGAATGGAAACGAGGAATAAATTATTGAATGCACGTGAAATGCTATTGCTGGTAACTCACTCAAACAACACAAGGACAAATTTGGAAAACAATTTACTATTTTTTTCCTGTAATTAAAGACCTATTTTGCTGCCATTGGTTGATATATCTCCCTTCAAACTCTTTTTTAAAACTTAATTTTAGATTTATTTTATGTGAATTTTGCCTGCATTTCTTTATATGCACCACTTGCATGACTGATGCTGGCAGAGGTCAGAAAAGGACAACAGACATCCTAGAACAGTTGGTTGTGAACCAGGTGTGGGTGCTGGGAATGGAACCCTGGTCCTTCATAAGAGCAGCAAATGCTTTAAACCATTGAACCGGCTAATATCTAACTAGCTACCTGGCAGAGGGGCATGTTTCTGCTTTCTTCTGGCTTTCACTGCCTTTCTTACTTGTTCCAATCAGAAGAGAGCTGCTTAGGTAAATGTCCTTACTGTGGTGATCTATAATGCCTAGAACTCCTTTCCCCAAAGGGTTTTAAAAGTCTTCTCTTTTGGGTGTTCTCATATGGTAGACCCATACATTCTCTTGGCCGACTTCATATTTTGTTTTTAATTAATTTTTTCATTACATTTATTCTCTCTCTCTCTCTCTCTCTCTCTCTCTCTCTCTCTCTCTCTGTGTGTGTGTGTGTGTGTGTGTGTGTGCGCGCGCGCGCGCGCACGCGCGCCTGTGCAATGCTACCATGCTGCCATGGTACACTTGTGGAGGTGAGAGGACAACCCCAGTGGAGCTGGTCCCCTCCTTCTACCTTGATGTGGGGGACTGAACACATTTTGTCATGCCTGCATGGTGAGCACTTGACCTGCTGAGCCATCTCACTAGACCTTGGCTGACTCTCTTAGTCCACAGGTCATCATTACAGCCTATTTCTAAGTTTATATGTGATGTCAGTGGCTGTCTCTCCATCTGTCATGTAAAAACTGAATCTGCGGAAAGCTGGCTTGGGCCCTGTAAAGTCTACTTTGAGTAAGACAGAAATTGATCGATCCTGTGATTACTGTGGAATTCCCATCCTATCGGTTGAGTCATTGAGAAGCTTAGTGACTCTGAGCTCAGACCCTAATTTTATAATGCTGAGCAGGACTGGCACTCACATACTGTTTTCTTTTTCCCTCCTAGATTGAAACCAAGATTTCCTTCTCTACCTTGAGTGCTGTTGCAAGTCCAAGGATCATAGACCTTGCCCACCCAAGGATCAAGATAGAAGGCCTATGCTATGAGAGAGTAAAGAATGAACTGCCAATTCGTCCCGTAAGCCATCCCTGACTCACTCATCGGCTGTCTTTCTGATTGCTCCTGAGATGTTATTTTGCCTCAACAAGGCATAGTCCAAAATCATCAGAAAAGATAGTCTTGAAAGTTGTCTGCAGTGGGAAGGGAGACTTGCAGATATGAGATGGGGAAAGGCAGAGCATGGGATTTGGAGTTAATGAGCTGGTGTGAATCTCAAATGAGATCTCCACATTGAGGACTGGCTGGTACACCACCCTCCTTATTTTACCCATAAAGCAACAGTAAAGAGACAACATGGAAGATGTGTCTTCCAAAGCAAGACAAAAAGACAATAGTCAGTTGCCATGTATTCATATGGCACACAGTAGGCACTAGAGCCTGAACTAGCACCTGGCAAGTAGTCTCCCTCTGAGCAGTTCATATTGTAATGGAAAAAGCAGATGATAAACAGGCAGATGCGTTTACACTATAGATAACATACATGTTATGAGGAGGATTAAATGGGCCAGGTACAATGGCACACACATGTGTTCTCTCAGTGCTCAGGAGCCTGAGGCAGGTGGAGCTCAGATTTGAGGCAGAGTTGAGTTGAATAGCATGAGCTAGACACCAGGGCTTTAAGATTGTCTTAAACAGGCAAACAGATAAGCAATAAGATTAAATAAGTACTGTAGAGAGGGTCCATTAGAAAAAGACCATCTGTTCCTGCAGGTCAGGAAGCCCTCCTTAGGGTCTGATGAGTCTGATCTAGATACAAATGAGAAAAAAGTATCTCAGCCAAGAATGAGGAAAGACATCTTAAGTAGAACTAGGAAGTGCAGAGGTCGGAGGCAGAAAGAGCCAGGATGAACGGAGGCCTTGTGTGGCTGCCAAGAGTCACAGTGTCCCTGATGGGGAGGGGGAGAAGATGAGGTTAGAGAAATGGGGTGGCCTCTGCAGATACAGGAAGGGGTTAGTACCTGAGCATGATGTGTTCCTTAGCTTTAGGAAGTACTTGCTTGGCAGAGTGTTGTGATGACGAACTGGAAATGATGGCGGCAAGCCACTCAGAGCTGTTCTCCAGTAGCCATCAGGGGAAGGCTGGATTGCTTAGGCTAAGAGGGGAAGCAAGGAAATCAGCAGGGAACATGGACCATCACAGTATTGTAGGAGAGGAATGGAGGGAGACAGGCATGGGGAATCCTGGGATGGAGAGTTATGTCTCTGTTTTTGCTACAGGTAGCCCCTGCTGCCCTGCTTGCTAAACCTACTGACCGAACTGTAAATCTAGCAAAGTCCAAACGTGTTCATGAAGACTATCTCCCTGCCCGAGATCCCCATTGGCCTGTATCTTATGCTGCTGCCCATTCTCGGGTGTCTGACAGAATCCAGGAACTGGCTCATCCACCGGCAAGGTATAGCAATTTAAGGCTAAAGCAGAGAAGGAAAAGTTAGGGGTCTGGAGAAAGGGGGAAGGTTGATCTAAAGTTAAAAACCAACAACAAAAGGCAATTTTAGGGGGAGTGGAAAAAAGCAAACCCTTTGTCATCTGACAGCATGCAGGCCCTGCATCATGCTTATAGTGTCTTGAGTCTTCATTTCCTCACCTGTATAATGGAGACCATGAAACTCCAACCTGACAATAATACCCTAGTGCTTAACATGGGGGTGGTGTGTGTCTGGGATATATCAGTTCCTTTCTCTCTTCTTAGTTCAGATTGGTTTCTTTTTCTACTATTCCAGGACTTCAGTGCATATTGTATACTATGACCCTGACGTCTTTAAAGTCAAGCCTTCTGCTTTGAGAGCACAGTGTTCTCCCAGGGTCAAGGAGCTGGCGGAACCCATTGTGCGCTAACTTCAACCAGCCAACAACCCGAGGCTGACACGAGTTACGGAGTTCCGTATCCGGAACATGCAGCAGATGACTTGGTTCCCTGCCTTTGTGTTTACATCTTACCACTATCCTCCCAAATATGAGACTTCCAGGGAGTGAGCATCAGATAGGCACTGTCTGTGATCCTGTCTTTACCGAGTTTGGGGACTCCACCCTGCAATAAAGGGGAAACCAATACCTGTTTCGAAATCTCTCCCACTCATCCAGGCATTTTGGCAGCTCCCTCATTGTGCTGTGAGGAGGACTCACTTTCTCACATTTGTGTGCTCGCCTCCCCCCCGCCAATTTTGTCTCCAAACCTTCTCTACAAAGTCCTGGGAACTGAGGTCACTGTTAGTGCTGCCTTGTCAATCTCCCTTCATCATCTGGAAACACACACACACACACACACACACACACACACACACAGGAAGAGCTTCTTTGGATGAAGCGAAGTGGTTTTCATAGGGAACAGCTTGCTTGCTTTAACCTCTTCACCAGTCTCCATTGCCTGGCTCCAGGCTCACAGTCACTCACCATGAAGGACAGAAAAGAGATACCCGCACTATGAAGCAGTATGCACCCACAATCCCTGCTACAAGGGAGGCAGGAGAGAGGGTGTGTCACCTGAGCCCAAGAGCTCAAGAGTAATGGGCAGCAGTGACCTCCCATCTCAAAAAGATAAACACAGTTTTAAAAGGAAAAGGTTTGGTGATGTGGTACATATCTGTAATCCCAGAATTTCAGAATTTGGGAGACACAGGCAGTAGGATCTACCACATAAAAAGACGCTATCTTGGAGTGTGTGTGTGGAGGAGGGGAAATCAAGATATTGTTTTTAATGGCAAGCATGAAAAATTCTCTATCACATTGTATCTGCTTAGAGTTGTTTTTTTTGTTTTGTTTTTGTTTTTGTTTTTTTTTAATGTACCACTGTTTCAAGAATTTAATTTTTATGGGACAAGCCTAGATTGGCACAAGAATGAGTTTACTTGAAATCTTATTTTACAACTTAAGAACTACATCTTGAAGGATGTTGGAAGGCAATATTATGTACTAGTTTCTTTCTTTTTTTCTTTTTTTTTTTTTTTTACTGTGAGCTTGGAGTTAGACCTGGGTTTGTAGCTCTCCTGGGCCATTTACTGGGCATTTGAGCTTAAGCAAATTGCTTTATTCCCCATGCCTCAGTTTCCTTTTATATAAAGAAGGTTCTCCCCACAATGTTGAAAAGATTAAATGGAAAAAATGCATTTAATAAAGTGTAAATATGAATTGAAATTTGTTTTTAAATTTCACTGTGTTTTCTGGCAGGGAGAAATGGCATACTTCATTCATATCAATGAGAAAAATGTGGCATGATTTATTTTCCCTCATCAAGTGCATGTTTGTTGACTACTTTTCTAGGCACTGTACAAGGGACTGGCAGTACATCACAGTGATGTACAATCTCATGGCCTATTCATTTCCATGACAACCCGTTAAATAAGTTTAAAATGGCCATAGCAATAGTAATATGAAGCAGTGTTGTGAAATAACAGAATAGAAAGCTCCAATCCCCTTGGAAAAGTGAGGGAGGTTTTCTTCAATGGAGAGACAGTTGAACTGGAAGCTGAACACTGAGTAGGAAAAACTTAATTTCAGAGTGAACAGCAAGGCCTTCCAGAGATCGGGAATGTATGTTTCTGGGATGTATTTGAGTATCGGGTTATCTTGCAGTGATTCTCCCCCCCCCCCCCGTTGGAGAGCATCTTCAGTTTCCTTTCCAGGAGTTACCTTCTACTCACTCAAGCTTTATACAGGGGGATGGGCGCATAGCTAAGGATTGGGACAGTGCTCGTCTGACATGTGCAAGGCCCTAAGTACAACGCCCAGTACAGACCCCATTATCTACAATGTAAATAGATAAGTAAGGGGGCTGGAGAGACGGCTCAGTGGTTAAGAGCACTTGCTATGCTCACAGAGGTCCCAGTTCAGTTCCCGGTGCTCACATGGCAGCTCACAGCTACCTGTAATTCCAGTTCTAGGCAATCTGAGGTCCTCTTCTTGCCTCCTAGGACAATACATGCACATGGTCCAGTTCCATATATACTGGTAAAGCAGTCATACATGTGAAATGATGGGGATGTCTTCTGTACATGTGTTTCTCTTATTGGTTGATGAATAAAGCACTGTTGGCCAATAGGGAAGCAAAATAGATGAGACTAGGAAAGGAGGAGGATTCTGGGAAACATAGGCAGAGTCAGTCACCATGTAGGCTGCCAGAGGAGTAATACCATGCCACAGCCTCTTGGCAATACATAGATTGATAGAAAGGGTTAATAATTAAGACAGAGCTAGCTAATAAGAAGCCAAACCAATGGCCAACAGTATTATAACTAATATAAGTCTCTGTTTTATTTGGGGCTGATGTGGCAGTGGGCCCAGGCTGGCAGGAAAGAGTTTCCGTAACAGTGAAATAAAAGTAAAATTTTGCAAAGAAAAAACATAAGTAACAAAGTTTTATGGGGCTGGGTATAGTGGCACATGGCTTTAATCCCAGCATTTGGGAGGTAGAGGCAAGAGGATCTCTCTGAGTTTGAGGTCAACCTGGTATATATATATCAAGATCCGGTTTACCAGTGTTATACAAGAGACTGTTTCAAAAAAAAAATTGTGATGACTTTTCTTCAAAGTGCCTTGGTGATAGGGTGGACACTTGCCCAAGCCACCCAGGCCTAGTGGCCATTGTCTGAAACTCTGGGTCTTATGTAGAACGATACCAGGGTGGGTGTGACATCTCCCACTCTGGGTGTTCTGATGCTTTCCCACCTGTAACCCTGGATCTCCTCTAAGTCCCTTGCCCTCAACTACTCCCACAGCCTTCTAGTAAATCCTTCATAGCAACTGGGAGAGCACATCATAGGCTGAAAGAATGTTGATGTGGCTCCAAAAAAGAAATCTACAAGATGCCGGAGGAAGCTGGAGGAAGGGAGCCAGGTACTTGGGGGACAATGGAAAGCTACTGAATTAAGTAAATTAAGTAGAAGAGGGTATAGGATATCTTTGGTCCATAGAAATCATGGCTGGACTTTGGGCAGAGAGCAGGAAGCTTTCTTGAATTGCCTGTTAATTTTCAGCTAAATAAGTTATCACACTAACTCGACACTGTCCTTGCGTGAGATGCTCCAAGTCTCTTGTGGACATTTGAAACTGAGGAGAGTGCCAAGCTATTTATACTTTTTCTATACATGAATGGATATGAGGGCATTTCATTTATTATCACTATTATTACCTTGGCTTTTTTTCCCCTTTCAGACAGGGTCTCTTTATGCAGCCCTGACTGTCCTGGAACTCACTATCCAGATAAAGCTGGCCTCAAACTCATAGAGATCTACCTGCCTCTGCCTCTTGAGTGTTGGGATTAAAGATGTACACTACCAGACCATAAGGATGTTTAGTTTACGCCAGGCAGTGACAGGTGGAAGCACATGCCTGGGAGGCAGAGGCAGACAGATCTCTGATTTCAAGGCCAGCTTGGTCTACAGAGCAAGTCACAAGACAGCCAGGACTACACAGAGAAACCTGTCTCAGAAAACCAAAATTAAAAAAAAAGAAAGTTCAGTTTATAAAGTAGACATCATTATAAAGTAGACATCATAAGTGGTAACAATGACTAACGTTACCACAGAACATTATAACACACTTGTTAGTGTGATCCTTCCCCCTCTCAGAATGTCTTCATATGTAGTCACCCTTCTTGTGATAACGTGAGATGGTCCAGTGCCTCCATGATGAGATGAAGCTGAGAAACTGACAGGCATGTGGCACAGCACTAGGCTATAACTGATCGTCTGATATCTCAGAAAGGCACCAACTACTTTAGATCACTATGTATGCATTTTCCTATTTAGTTAGAAACATTTACCTTTTTGCATAAAGGAAGCATGTTACATATTCTCTTTAGCACATTTAAGTTACCCATGTCACTTCTTCTTTGAGGACATGATTAAGTAAAATAAGGATTGCCTGAAGACAAATATTCTGATACCACAAGGACAATCTGGTAACCCAAGATGGGTACTAAGTGACTAACAGATACGGATGACCGTATACAAAAGTAAATCATGTCCCAGGTTGGAGGAATGGGGGGTTGGGAGGTAGGGGGTTATAAGAGGTTATTTCGATACTCAGAATAGCAAACAATAAGAAACCTACAAACCGGGCTGGAGAGATGGCTCAGGGGTTAAGAGCACTGACTGTTCTTCCAAAGGTTCTGAGTTCAATTCCCAGCAACCACATGGTGGCTCACAACCATCTGTAATGTGATCTGGTGCCCTCTTCTGGCACGCACTGTATACATGATAAATAAATAAATAAATCTTTAAAAAGAAAAAAGAAAAAAAGAAACCTACAAACCACCACTGGGATTATCTATTTAATAACTTTATAAAATGAAATCACCGATCATGGAGCTAGAATAAACTAATGGAAGAGAAGCTTGCAGACTAGCCTTGGCTCACAAAATGGGGAAAGTGGAGTGATTTTACCAGCTGTTGTCTGCTCTCCACAGGCTTGTGGACAAAGGTTTTAGTTTGGTAGAAAGAGCAGGTAACACTTCTTCATTCAGCTCCCTACCAGTTTTCTTATTACCCCCCCCCCCCCCCCCCTGCCCCGCCAAACCCCCCCCGCCCCAGTTGGCCAGTAAAAGCCTGCCTGCATGGTTAGAGTACAGAAGTGTGATGGTCACACAGGTCCAACTCTCCTACCTTAATTGATCCTTCTTTCTTCCTTCAGAAGACTGTCCATTCTGTTCTTTTGTTTGTTTGTTTGTTTGTTTGTTTTGAGATAGGGTCTCCCCATATAGCTCTGACTGTCCTGGAACTCATTCTGTAGACCAGGCTGGCCTTCAACTCACAGAGATCCATCTGTCTCTGCTGGGATTAAAGTCATTCGCTACCATGCCCAGCAGGCTGTGAGCTCTAAAGGGCCTGTCTGAGGAGGTCCTGATCCCTGGTATCTTTGGCAACAGCTATACCAGAGGCCTGAGGAAAGGTGCCTGAAGACACTTTCTTTCAGACTGGGTGTGAATTTTCCTTTTCCATCTGGGAGGTGTTCCCCGATTAAAGAATGTTCCCACCCACTGTGGCATGCATCTGCCTGCCTGTCTAGTTCCTAAGGCGGAGGTATGTCCTGCTAGGACTTCCAGGATGATGGGCATCCTGGGAGGGATTGCCA